ACCGGCGTCGCGAAAATTCGCAGATAGATCAGATCGCCTACATAAACAGTGTGAGCGAACCTCCTCGTTGATCCAACAAAAGAACCAACCATATTCTCTCCCCCATTCAGCGAAGGTCTTGTGCTGATCTTTGAGGGGTAGTTGGTGCACGTTGCCTATGAGGGGCAGAGGTCGTGGTCCAGGAGGCAGCTTGGATGATCTGATCCGTCCGCGATACCAGACATAAGCCAGAGAAGAGAGTAGTATGAATAGGAGAGTCAGAGAAGTGATATGGACGGTCATGGTCAAACTGTTTCTGACGGGGCCTTGGCGTGGGGGTCGTCTGGCTCCAGCGACAGTGATATATAGCCACTGGACGTGGGTGGAGCAGCTCAGCCGCACAGCGAGGTCAGGTGTACTGTGGAAGGAACAGCAGGACGGCTCAGCTACGCTCAAACGGACAGCAGGGCCGCTTTGTTCCCCTTAGACTCGACCTAGCGTACCTTTGACTCACTCTTGAACTTGATCCGGTGGAGCGAGTACGTTGTATTCCGTAATGTAGAGTCACAGTATGTCACCCACGATAGCACTCATGGCAGCACTGTTGGAAGGGCGAGTGCTTGGCCCTGACCGTGTAATCAGCACGGCACGGACGTTGTGCCTTGTGAACTACGGTTGCAGTGGTAATCTAGGGGTAACGAACCCAGACCAATCGAATACGCCCTTTTGTGTACGTTTCAAGAAATATGCTGTATGAATCGGGACAATCATGACGTACCTAACCTATCTTTCCTGACGTTGCTTAGTACCAGGCCACAATCCGTTACGATATCTGAGAGTCAGCACAGTGTAGATTTAGATGAGACACGGTGGAGGCCTAGGGAAGATGCTTCAAGCGCACATACCTTAGAATTGTGCCCTGGAATTACGCGATAGAGGACACTATCAGCAGGACACAGGGCTGTGGACGAAGTTTAGTTCGCGCCGCTCCCATGCAATGCGACATCGGCACCCGGATTCTCCACATCATGACGGCCATGCCTCCACCAGGGTGCTAGCTGGTACGCTCGTACAGTCCACACGTACATACGACAAGCCACAAGCCACGAGCTGGCAGCCACCTACTTCTGCGGTACGGGACCCGCGAGTCTGCAGAACTAACAAGGTACGCGGTGATCGGATGCCAGGAGCGCCTCCGTTCGGCGTACTGTCATTGCAGCGGTTCCGGGCAATCCGTTGCGCCTATGTGATTGACCAACGGCGCTGGAGGGATGCAGCACCTCCGTCGCTCTAGTACTGAATTGGCACGATATTAGAGCGCTACCCATAGTGTCTGGAAGATATCTGCCGACCTGCCGACGAACCCCATTATGATACATGCCAGCGGTGCGAACGTGGCGCGAACGACTCAACAGGAATTCAGTCGTACGACCGCAATCGTAACAGTCGCCTGATCGAAGTGTGACCGAGCGCCGACGGCTGCGCGGTGGCCATGGCCATAGACGCGTTGTATAGAGTATAGAAAGACGCACAACAGCTGTGGAGAATTCCAAGGACACACCGAGTGGCGGGATGACAGCCCTTGCGCTAGCATTCGAGCGTGCTCAGATATCGCACCTAAACTCCTCAGGACGACTGCAAGACGTAGTCAGTAAGGATTGCGGCCCCGCATACTGGAAAACGAACCTCACGAAACCGTATGTGAACGACATTGCAGGCGTTATATCTCTCAGTGTCGCTTGCCTTAGAGATGCTGAAGATCGCAGTCATGTTGGCGATGACTAGCCAAATGCTGCCGGTGACAGGCTTGGACAACGCTAGCCGCACAGACGTGAGATAGCAGACAACAGCATGCATACGTCGTCGATCTTAAGACCCATTAAGACAAGCGCAACACGAACGCGCTCGATAGTACCCAAGCATCCGCATCAGCGTAACAGCCGACCCGCCCTACGCCTTGTACAACGTGTCCAGGAACGCCGTCGCGACGTGCCCCACGATCGTCGGACCCACCGGGCTCGACGAGCCTAGACCTGCATGCAGCACGCGCCGAGTCAGCCAACAGCCACAACGAGCACCCGCACAGACGCAGGCGACAACGTACGTGGCACGCACCATACAGAATCACCATCGTCCCCTTGCCCTCCGGCGCGTCGCGCGCCTCGCGCACGGCGTCCTTGAGGTCCGCGATGAACTGGTCCACGACCGGCACCGTCAAGCGCTGTTCCACATTCCACACCCCGGAAACGCGCCATCAGCAACCGTGCTCCATGGCGTGCGCGCAACACCCACCGTTACAGCGATGTGCACCGCCGCGGGCCCGCTCAGCCCGTTCAGGTGCCAGCCGCGCTTCTCCATCTTGTCGCCGACCTCGAGCACGTTGAGCCGCCCCACGCCCGCTGCCGCGGCGAATGCGACGACGGACGCGGGCGGGTCGCCGAGCACGCGCAGCTCCGGGATCTCCGTGCGGATCCGGTGCGCGATCGTGCGCGCCGCGCCGACGATCGCCCGGCAGGACTCGAGGTACCCGCTGGGGAAGGGAAGGGGATAAGAAGAGGAGGAGTGTTAGTTAACGGGCGCACGCGCGAGGGGGGGACGTCGCGGCGTACGAGTGGCCCATGTAGTGCATCGCGGCCCATGTCCCTGCGATGAGCGCGCCCGGGCTGTCACGGCGGGGCGGGCGAGTCAGACAAGGGCATGCGGTGAACAGTGGCTGGTACCCACCGCGAGCCAGCGATGCTCGGACTGGCGTACACGCCGCCGACCCATCCGGGGTTGACGTAGTACTGGTGCCGCCGCAGCTCCGCGTCCCGGTACATGATGACCGAGTTACCCTTTGGCGCAAACCCGTACTGCGCCGCAGCCGGTCAGCGGGGCAGAACCTGGGGATCAGCACTAGCGCGTACCTTGTGCGTGTCGCAGCTGATGCTCGTCACGCCCGGCACGCGGAAGTCGAAGGGCTGCACAGGCCCGAACCCAGCCTCCTCGACGAACGGCATGATGAAGCTGCCCAGGCAGCAGTCGACGTGCAGGCCAACGTTATACTTCTGAGCGAGCGCGCCGAGTGCGGGGATGTCGTCCTGATTGCCGTCGGGGAAGTTGATGGCAGAGCCGACGAGCTGGTGAATGAAATGAGCTATGTTCAATGCAGGACAACGATGACAAACGCACCATGATCGTGTTGCTGTTGCTGTGAGACCATGAGCAGAGGTCTATAGTTTGCGATGAAATGACAGGGAACGCACATAGCGCGAGCGACGCGCTTGAGGTCGGCCTTGCGCGTGATGGGGTCGACGGGGACCGTATGGACCTTGACACCCATGTACGCGGCGCCTTTGTCGAACGCTGCATGCGCAGTGACCGGGACGACCCTGCAGCCCGAGTGCGTCAGTACATGCAGCGCGCTATTGTCAGTGAGGCGCACATCTCGGGCTCGGTTATGCCTTTTGCCGCGCGCGCCCAGTCGCGGTAGGTCTTGACGGCCATGACGATACTCTCGGTGCCGCCACTGGTGGTAGTGCCCGCGCCGCTGGGGTTGTTGTACATGCGGAGACACATGGCAACGACCTCGGCCTCCATCTTGCGCACCGCGGGGAAGACAGAGGGGTGCAGAGGGTTGGAGAGAGCGTAGCGCTCGATAGCGGCCAGTATAACCCGAGTGAGGTCGTCTCCGCCGTCTTTTTAAACGTGAGGGCATAAGGAGCATATCCTGCTGAGAGGAAGGGAACGCACGATATACGGCCCCAGAGACCCTGCCTTCTGCCCAGTTCGCATGGCCCTTGCCCTCTTTGTCCATGCGCTCCATCTCTTGTGCAATCCAGTCCGGCGACTGACTTTGTTCCGGAAGCGCGAGATGGCGGACGACGTCGGGACCATGGGGAACCATGCCATCCTCAAGGTCGAGGCGTACTTTGTCCAGCTCCGCGTTCACTTTGCGACGCGCGGCCGGAAAGCGGAGCACGAGCAGGACGACTTCCTAGCGTGGGGCTGTGTCAGACAATCGCAGCGCAGCACACGACGCGCGGGACCGAAAGTACCTGCGATATCCATGCATAAGCATCATGGAGAGTGCGGACAGTGCCACGAGCGCGAACATGGCGGGAGATTTTGAGGAAGCGAGTGAAGAAGAGATATGCGACGATCAGGGTCTTGAGTGTGTCAAAGGTGCCGTTGCTGGCGAGAAGGGTGCGCGCATTGGAGAGCACAAGAGCACGCCTGTGAGCAGTGGAGGACGACATAGGAGGAAGTCAAAGTGATATCGTTACAGCTGCAGGGTTGGTGACCACTGAACACGATAATGGCGCGGGAGAGTCGCAGCTCGGCGTCTGACGTCACCCATAATTTCAGCGCTCGATTACCCGGCTTAACTTCACCGTCATTCTGCACACGATGTGGGAGGGGAAGAAATGCAGTGTCGTCCGCTGATGGTCGAGGCATACGAGTGATTTGTCGACAAGCTATAATAATATAAAGGACTAATATGGCCGCGTTGATCTGACTATATGCGCGTTGACGCCAAGTGATAGCAAACGAATCATAGACGGCGATAATACTAGAACCCTTGACGTCCGCACACGATGCTCTCCGACTACAACAAACGAACACACAACGAACACACAATACGACGAACACGCTCTTGACGACGACGAAGAGACTCCCGGCGACCGAGACGATGGACCAAATGGCGACCGCGTGATGCAACGAACTCACTCTTAATGACGACGAAGACTCCCGATGACCGAGACGAAAGGACGAATCTAGACGACAACGACCCGCGACCACGACCGAACAATCGGAAACCATTATAAACAACTAATGCTACAACCTCGACTCTAGAACAGTATAGGATGCTTACCCCGAAGTATATTGCAGTGCTTTTCACAAAGTTGTCGAGTTGTCGATGAGTTTCTAAGCGCGATGCTCGTGGTTCGAAGAGAGGGGGAGGATGAATTTCTCGGCGTCGACGCCGGTTTATATAAGTACAAGGAGGCCTTGACAGCAGTGATATCATACATGCTCTACGAAGAGACATAGGACACGGAGACTTGCATCATGTCAAACGATCGACCACCGCCCAAGAATAACACACCAGTATCTGAATCGAGATGGAAGCCCTTGCCTGGGCACAGACAGGCAAAGCACAACATATGCGGACCGAGTCCACAGTCAGCTATGTCTCAGCTTCGCAAGGGTGTCGCCCCCGACGCGTCATATTTACGTGACGACGCTGGAACCCCTGAACGGCTTACGCTGCTGCTTTCCCTCGTATTCAACACCGTCCTCGCAGGCCTTAGAGTCGAAGTAAAAGGGATATAGCCACGTCCATCAATCGCAGAGGAGAGAGAAAGAGGGAATCAAAGAAAAAGAAGAAAAGAAAACAGAATCCGAGCCCGTCATTGTTCTTCGAGCCTTAGCGTGTTCTACTCCACCACAACGAATCGCGGTGTGGGAGGGAGAAGGCTAGCTATGGAAAGAAACTGGAGTATGATTACATCCGGCGGGGTTATCCCGACGATACATGCAAATATGACGGCAATCTAAAGAGGATATCGCTGTTTTGTGATGGCTGGCTCGTGTAACGGGTTTCCTCCCTTTCAGTGGGGGCACAGCCACCTCAAAGTAACCGATATGGGTGTCCAAAGGATCTGGAGATGTGGATAGGCAATTTGTGATTGGCCTTGAGACATTTCAAGCAGGACGGAATGAAATGACCGCACCTTCAAACATTTGTCCGTTGATGTTGCAGCTATGCATCGATGCACCAGTGACATCCTGTATGCGGCGCATCTAGTAGCAAAGACATATATAACGGGAGAATGAGAACGCAAACGATCTCGGTCGTCGGTGATGCATCATTGTGATCTATTGCGTCATGCATAGATCTCTCTGCAGTGGGCCTACCTACTTGTGAGCGCAGCAGCGCACTTCAACGCCGCGATGACGGGAATGATCTGACCTCAGCGCGATATAAACATCGCGCCAATGCGGCGGGAGACTGGAGTGAGTCTGATACTAATGCATCGGACTAGATACATTCAAAATTGCCACTTAAATCTCGCTGGAAAACAAGCGACTTTTCGCTGTTTTTGAGCGCCCAAATGGGGCTGAAGGTCGCTGAAAGGTCGCTGGAAGTGTCACAAATGACTAAGCGTGACGCAGCCGTAAATTGATCACGTTTTCGGGCTAACCAGCCAATCAGGTTGGCGAATCATGCAAGCGTGACATGGCCGTAAGCCAGAATCTGCGAGCGCTTGCGACGAGCAGTCGCTTATTTGTCGCTGTTCGAGGAGGGGAGCGCAGATTCTGCTCGCTGCTTTTGGCCGCTTAGATGTCGCTTGTTTTCACAGGGAGATTTAAGCGGCAACTTTGAACGTACCTACTCTTTGTGGAACTCGGTAAAGGAAACCCTAGGGGTCAGGCCAATCACCACATTAGCGTTGGAAAGTTCTCTCGCTGGTCACGATCGGTGATCCCGGCCATACGGCCATACCAGTCGCGCCAGCCATCCTATAGCGTATTACTCCTCCTGTTAGTCGGCTATTCTGTCTTACTATATTGGCGGCGTCTTTCTATACAAAGTGTTTATAGCCACAGCGCGGCCGTCGGCGCTCGGTCACACTTTGATCAAGCGGCGCCGGCTGCTAATACAATCGCGGTGGTAACTTGTTGAGTTGCTCGCGAGTCGCGCCATGTTCGCACCACTGGCATGCATCATAATAAGGATCGTCTGCAGATCATTTCCAGACACCAGAAGTAGCAATTTAGTATCACAACAATTAGTACTAGGTCGACGGAGGTGCTGCATCTCTCCAGCCGTTGGTAGTCACATAGGCGCAACGAATTGCTTAGAATCGCTGCAATGACAGTCTACGCCGAATGAGGTGCGCTCCTAGCATCTGATCACTGCGTACCTTATTGGCTCTGTAGACTCGCGGGTCCGGTACCGCAGGAGTAGACGGCTCCCAGCTGGTGGCTCGTCGTTTGTGGACTGTACGGTTGTACCAGCTAGCATCCTGGTGGAGGCATGGCCGTCATGATATGAAGAATCCTGGTGCCGATGTTGCATCGCATGGGAGTGGCGCGAAACAAACTTCGTCCACAATCCTGTGCCTTGCTGATAGTGCACTCTATCGCGTCATATCAGGGCACAATTCTAAGGTGTGTGCGCTTGCACTATCTTCGCTAGGCCTCCACCATGTCTCATCTAAACCTCTACTGTGCCAAAACTCAGATTACCACTGCAGCCGTAGCTCACGAGGCACGACGTGAGCGTTGTGCTGATTACACGGCCAGGTCCAAACACCCGCCCGTTCAACAATGCTGCCATGAGTGCTATCATGGATGATATACTGTGACTTTACATTGTGGGATACGACGGAAACGTACTCTTCCCACCGGATAAAGTTCAAGAATGAACCGAAGGTACACCGGGTCGAGTCTAAGGGGAACAAAGCGGCCCTGCTGTCCGTTTGAGCGTAGCTGAGCCGTCCTGCTGTTCCTTCCACAGTACACCTGACCTCGCTGTGCGGCTGAGCTGCTCCACCCACGTCCAGTGGCTATATATCACTGTCGCTGGAGCCAGACGACCCCCACGCCAAGGCTCTGTCAGAAACAGTTTGACCATGACCGTCCATATCACTTCTCTGACTCTCCTATTCATACTACTCTCTTCTCTGGCTTATGTCTGGTATCGCGGACGGATCAGATCATCCAAGCTGCCTCCTGGACCACGACCTCTGCCCCTCATAGGCAACGTGCACCAACTACCCCTCAAAGATCAGCACAAGACCTTCGCTGAATGGGGGAGAGAATATGGTTGGTTCTTTTGTTGGATCAACGAGGAGGTTCGCTCACACTGTTTATGTAGGCGATCTGATCTATCTGCGAA